GGGGTCATGCCCGGCCGGTCACCCGGTCGCCAAACCGGACGTGGCGTCGGGGCTCGGGCGTCCGGGATATCTCCCTAGGATTAACTTGTTTTCTCCTCTCTTTTTTTTTTTTTTTTTTTTACTTTTTTCAATCCCTGCAGATTAATGCTTACTCTATGTCGGTCAAGGAAGTGGTGGATGTGGGACCTGATCGTGTCGTTGTTCGGCAAGGTGCAGAAGACCGACTACGGCAATTGAGCACGGTACGTACGTGAAAATGACACAAAGTCCCTTGCCCCCCCAAAAAAACTGTGGTTTTACCGTTTTATGGGACATCCATTAAAAATTGGAACGATACAGAGAAGGCAGATTAGCTTGGCCCCTGCGCAAAGATAACGACACGCATAAATCAAGAATTCGTCCAAATTTTCATGAGAAAAGAACAAAGGGGAAAAAAAAAGACTTTTTTCCCCACAGCAGTAAAAGTTGTAACTTTTTTTTCCACCCAGGGTCTTCCAACTTTTACTGCTGTGGCCCGTGGGTAAAAAAAAAACACACCCAGGGTGTTATCACCTTGAAGGCTTCAACAAGGGGAGGGGAAGGGAGGGAGAGTTCACTTTCCGGAGGTTTCTGCATAATTGCCACCTCAAATGTTGGAAATTGTAATTGAATTAAGTTTACTAACTTTAATTAAACAAAAAAAGAAAGGGCGTCTTTTGATTAGTAGTACTCGACATTATGACATCCTGCCGTCATCATTAAAAAAAAAAAACTCTTTCCTAATGAACAAAAATATTTATGACCATGCATGTCTGTGTAGCATGGCGAACACGTTTGCGTGTTTGCGCGTGAGTGGCACAAATGTCTTTCTGTGGTCGCGCGGACACCTTTCCACGGGCGTGTGGCGGGGTTGGCAGGGGGGAACCTAGGGAGCCAATGGGTTCGCGTGCATGGCGGGGTGGGCATGTAGAGAGAGAGAGAGAGAGAGAGAGAGAGAGAGAGAGAGAGAGAGAGAGAGAGCTCTGTGTGTGCGCATGTTGTGTTGGGTCGGTAAACTCATTTTGTAAATTGTCATTCCCAGGGACTCCTCGAGTTCTTTCTGATGAGCGAGCCGCCATGGAGGGAGTACGATACACCGGAGGGAGACGGTGAAGAAGTGGATGGTGACTCCTTCGCTCGTCCAAAGAGCAAGGGATCGAAAAGGAACCGGCGTGAGAAACAGAAGCTGTCAAATCCCCGCGATACTTCCTTGCCCCCCGCCAGCGATAGAGGGAGACAGGAAGCGATGCTCACTCCGTCTACAACAGCCCCTCCGACGAGGGCTCGCAAGATGGACTTATCGGACGAAAAAATTGCAGCAAGAATGATAACCTCGAAGCCCGAGAGGAGGTACGAGGAATGGATTCAGCCAGGGGGGAAGAATAGTCTACTACGGGGAAATCGGGAGTCGGAGTATGAAGAAGTGGAGGTGTATCGCCCGAACGATGACCGCGTTTCTAGAAGAACTGCACGGAGCACATACTCTCCTTCTCCTTCGACACTTCGTGAGGCTACGGTCCAAGAGGTTCGGGGCAATCAGGAGTACGCAGCACAGCTGGAGGAAGTGTATCGCCCGAATGATTACCTCGTTTCGAGACGATCTGCACGGAACAACATTCCCCCCTCTCGTTCGTCTTCCCCTTCGACATTTCCCGAGCCTACCTTCCGTGACCCTACCTGGGACGATCAGGAGTATGGGCAAGTGGAGGTCTATCGCCTAAACAATGACCGCGTTTCAACAAGAACCGCACGCAATGCCTCCTCTCCTTCTCCTTCTCCTTCGACAGTCCGCAAGCCTTCGTTCCAAGAGGCCTGGATGGGACTTCGAGGAACTGGATACCCGGAGTCACAACCATACTCCAATTTTGCGGACGATCGAGAGGGAGGGGGGGATTATAATAACGCCCTTCGCGAGGCGGAAGAGGAGGAGGAGGAGGAGGAGGAGGAGGAGGAGGAGGAGGAAGGGGGGGCAGTAATCCCCTTGCCGAATGCGCCGAACGTGAGACGCCCCAGCTTTTCACAGCAATCTGGGGGTGGGAAAGTTAACCAAGAAGGAAGGAGAGGTTCACGCCGCGGCGCTCTCCTCCCTGTTGAAGCCTCCGTCTCACAGAGATCGAACGACTTTCCAGAAGATGCTGCGGAGCCCTATGTCGCCAGCTCACGCAGATACAGTCCGCAGCGCGGTTTCGACGATGAGGACGGCAGGTCACAGATGAGATCCGGAGGTGGATTGGCGAAGGGAGGGCCCGCGCAGGATAGGCCACAGGAGTCCCCTCGTTGGGATTCGCAATGGCCGGGCAGCAGCAACGGGTTGCCTGCAGTGAGGAGCATGCTTGATTATGAGCTGCTTGATAATGCGGAAGTTGGTGACCAGAGGGAATGACCCGAGTCTGGCTTTTGTATTTACTACATAATAATAGGATTTTTTATTTTTTTTATGGCTCGGTAGAGTCGGTATGGTATTATTTTCAATTTTTGTAATTATAAAAGATTACATCCATGACTCTTTACTATTTAGTCCCGACTCCTGACACTCTTTTTTTTTTTTTTTTGGTGACACACTGACACATTTGGTTCTCTGCTAATTTGGCTTGTTTTTTCTTTTCTTTTTAATAAGGGCGACGGCGTTGAGATATCGTCATTGAACAGACCGGCCCCAGGTCATTCAGAATGTTCTGGTCATCTGCTACTGTTTGTGTCTGGATTCGAACTCGGATCTGATTCGTATTTCAACAGTTTGTGGGTGTACCAACTGAGGGCATACTCACACTAGGAACTTTTTTTTTGCTCTAAGCTGTGGACGCAATTGCAGTCAGATTCATCTGGGTCTGGCCGTAAATGCAGTCAGATTCATTCAGAAAAGTTCTCGTGTGAGTATGCCCTGAGCTAGGCTCGTTGGTACTCCGGCCTGTTTTGGGCAAGCGGTATGTTGCCAGGAAAACATCGATATTAGGTACACTAAGGGCCTATTCAAACAAAGACTTTTTCCACGGACATCTGGACGGAATTGCGGCTAGATGCATCCCGAACTGGCTGTAAAAGTGCTCAGATACATCCAGCTAATTACTTGTGTGGGTATGCACTATCCCTCTCTCCTTGAAAGGCCACCTCCCTTTCTCCTCTTGTTGTACCAGTGGTTGTTGTTGTTGTTGTTTCACTTTGTGTCAATGTGGGCAAGTTCGATGTATATCACACAAGAGTGCAAGAGGCAGCCCGTGTGTGGTTTGTGAATAATGGTAATGGTACACCAGACATGTGACCAATTGTGCAAAATGAGAATGGTTGCAGTGTTAAATGCATCCGCCTGTTATGGCCGAGGTCACCGGTTCGACTCCCGACTCCTGACTCCGTCTGGCTGCGGGTCGATCAGCTATAAACCATGCATCCGCCTGTTATGG